AATGTTATCATCATTATTATAATTTTCATTATCATTATTATCATCATTACTACTAAAGCTATCAATAAAACCAATATTAATATTATTGCTATCCTTATGAGTATTATTGATATTGTATTTTTTTATTATTATTGTTATCATCATCATTATCATTCTTATTATTCTTATGATTTTGATTGATAGTATTATCGTTAGGGCTATTATCATCCTTACTATTATTACTATTATTATTATCATTATCATTATTATTATCATTATTATTACCATTATCAGTATTATCATTATCACTGATATTATTGTTGTTATTATTACCATTATCATTATTATTACTCTCATTATCATTATCATTTATATCGTTATTATTATTATCATCATTATAATTATTGTTATTATTACAGCTGCTATCTTTAATAATAATATTATTATCGTTATCTGTATAACTATCATTATTGTTATAATCATCACCATCATCATTATTGTTATCACTATCATGATCATGATAGTTCTTGTCTTTTTTATTGTTGTTGTTATCTTCATAATAATAGATAGTGATGATGATAGTATTAATGATGATATCCATTGTTAATGCAATAACCATAATAATGATAATTATTAATATTATTTTATGATAGTAATAATAATGATAATAATAATAATGACGATGATAATGATAATAATAATATAATAATATAATAATAATAATAATAATAATAATAATGATAATAATAATAACAATAATAATAATAATAATAATAATAATAATAATATAATATAATAATAATAATGATAATAATAATAATTATAATAATAATAAAATAATAATAATATAATAATAATAATAATAATATAATAATAATAATAATAATATAATAATAAATAATAATGAAATAATGAAATAATATAATAATAATAATGATAAATAATAATAATAATAATAATAATAATAATAATATAATAATAATAATATAATAATATAATAATAATAATAATAATAATAATAATAATAATAATAATAATAATAATAATAATAATGATAATGATAATGATGATGGCAGTAATAAAGATCATGAAAGTAAAGTCGATAATAGTAATAATGATAATGATTATGATCATAAGTTTAATATTAATGATAATTGTAAAAACAACTATAAAACAATAACAACAACATTAGTAATAATAATGATAATGATGTTGATATAAATAATATGATAATGATAATAATGATGATAATATGAATAACAAATGATGATAATTATGACGATAGCATACATTAATGATAACAATGTTGATAATAATCATAACGGTAATATTGAAGATTGTAATGATAATGATAGTAATAATAATAATGATAATAATAATAATCATTATATTTCATTATTATTATTATCATTATTATCATTATTATTATTATTATTATCATTATTATCATTATTATTATTATCATTATCATTATTATTATGGTAATAATAAAGATAATGGGAAAGGTAACGATAACAGAAATAATAATGGTCATAATGATAAGTATAGCATTGATAACGTTAGTAACTGGCATTATTTAATTATTGTTGTTATTATTATAATCGTTTATAAAATAATTGTCATTAATTTTACCATCATTATCATTATCATCAATGTTTCTTAATATCATTACTTTTATTATTATCATTATTATCTTTACTATAAATACCATTATCAGTATCATTATCTTTGCTAATAACATTATTATTGCCATTATTGTTATTATTACCATTATTGTTATTATTATCATTATTACTATTATGGTAATCATGATCAATATTATGATTTATATTATAAAAGGTGACACTATTGTTATCATTTATAACGGTTAATATTGGTGTTGTTAATAGTAGCAGTAGTATTGTTATTATTATTATTGTAGTTGGTATTGATATTGTCATTATTATCATTACTGTTGTTATGATCATCGTTTTTATTATTGTTATCATTATTACCATAATCGTTATCATTATCATTATCCTTTTGTCTCTATCATTATTATCATTATCGTGTGAAAGGAAAGAAAATCGCTGTTTAGTATTTCTTATTCTTGGATTTTGATAGTTTTATGAATTTTGATTGTACTTTGAAATTAGATTTTTTGTTTAGGTTATGTTTTTTAGTCTTTCAATTGTTCGTGTCGGGCTTCTGTTCTGTTTTCTTATCATTCATGTGACGTAGTATTTCCAGGTAATTCCGTAGATCAGGAGCCTACGCATATGAGCAAATAATTGTGTACTTTGTGCATTATACGCGTCTGCCATGTGTTTTAAAGATGAATTTGCGCGTGTCGGCGTTAATGTATACATAAAACCAATTAATCTGCACGCTGCGTACAAACGTGCCAATGCATAAGAAAACGAAAAGGGACAGTATTATTTAGCAAAGGTGAAAAATAATGTTAAGCCTTAGTTCAAGAGCTAAATTGAATGCATCCTTGTGAACTATACTATCATACGATAATTTATCCTTGAAGAGACTCGCTTCTCACGACATAAGAGACAACGGATGCATAACATTTGCTCCTTTCATTGTTTACATTATGATCCGAATCAACGTACGGAACGCTTTACAACAAAATTTCAATCTCTCGCTTATTAATTACGCACTTCTGAGAGCGATCGAGTCCAATATTTTATTATTTTCTATTGGTGAGCTGGATCCTTTGTTACCGGTCTACGTATTTTGAAGCTTGGAATTCGTAAGAAATACTTCAGTTAGCAAGATTGATTTAGTTGTTTAGGTTCATTATATTCACAACATCTTACTTCAGTGTTATACGGTACGTAATTAGCTAAGTTAGGAGAGAAATATTTTTGTGGCAATGTGGAGAAAGTACAACTGGCATGTTTGTCTTACTATGCTGTGATTTTATATTATAAGGTTCTTTAGTTATCTTGTACTTTACTGTTTAAATGACATTCGGATAATGAAAGAAATACTCTTTTTTAATAATTATTAAGTATTATATAGGAGTTATTTTGGTTACAATCAGATGCTGGATCTTTGAACATTCAATATCATTCATCTCACTCTCTCAGGTCTCATAGATTATCGATCCACTTATAAATCTCTTCGATATCACTGTAATTCAGTCTATCTTCTTCTCAATCATTATCATTATCTCATCTCATCTCGTCATTCCTATTTACATTAATCACTACACATAAACTCACCTACACACACATCACCTAAGTCTTAGTCTATCTCTCTCTTCTCTCTCTTCTCATCTTCTTCATTTCTCCACTCCACATCTGTCTCTTCTCGTCTCTATACTCTCTTTCGTCTCTTTCATGCTCTCTATCCCCCTTCCCTCCTCCTCCCTCCTGGTCCGCTCCCTCAGACTCCGCTCCTCCTCACTCTCTCTAAAATTGATTTCATCTTACTGTGACAGTCATGCTCACAGACCATGTTAATACTCACATTGACTTATAACACTTCTGCCTTAGGCGTAAGCAGGGAGGAACATCTAATAAATTAACGTTAGCTTCACTTTATTTATAACTTGATCATTCCCAGTTAAAGGTGTTTACGTTAGAAGCTTCAGCGGCCAATGGCGAGTACCGCCTCTCGACCTATGCCGCAACGCGCCAGCTCGATTGGCCGGGGAGCGCCAGCTGAAGGTCACACTAACACAGCGAGCACCGCTAGACGGGCAGAGGTGCGTCACTCCGACAGGGTCCGCGGCGGGCTTCCTCTACACGCACTCATCTTCAGTCGCTCCTTCGTCTTCCGCCACTTACGCGCGGCCATCCTCCTGCGATCTGCCCGACTTCGCCGTCCCGTCGCGCGACGCCGCCCTACGCCAGCCGCCGTCGCCCCACTCGCGCCTCAAAGATCGGGGAAAGGATCGCACAGCGACAGGCCTGATACGAGGAGCGACAGGCCGCCGCGTGTGCATTTCGGCTTTGAGAAGCCTACTCTACAATCCGGTCGGCGCCACAGGCAGCGAGGCGAACGCCGCACGCAACACAACACAACAACGCGTCTACCGCACGACATCATATTGAGGTAAAGTTGAATATGATACAGAGTGATGAGAAGAGAAGGGACGATTAGGATGAGACGCTATTAAGCCTTGCATGGGTTGACGGGCGGCGCGTCAAAAGGAGCGACTGCCGGGATTTAAGTTCGTAGTTGTTATTGATCCGTCCTCTTCCTTGGAGTCTTATCTGATGAGATTCGAAGAATAGCTTGTGATGGAGGGTCAGTGAGTTGTCATCATATATGTAGGATCTCGTTCAGTCATTCACAATAAGGTTTTAGGCCGGAACTTGCACGCGGCTCTTTATCGTCGGTACGAGTTATCACCGGCTGAGCGCGTCCTCATGATTACTTATGTAGGTTGTGTGGTCGGTTGTTTCCGAATGACGGTACTAAAGACGGAGTTTAGACAACCACGGCCTGTGTGGTCTTTTTATAGTTCTACTGTGTGTGGTAGTAGGTGAGTAGGTTAGGTTGATATTATATCCTTTGTTCTTTATTATGAATTTTATATTATATCATATAGTGCAAGGCTTCTATGTGCCTCTTCATTATACTATACTACCTATGATAACGTATATTTAATTGCTTAAATGGTTGAAACATTATTGATTGTCGATATAGATTCTGTTATAATATATATATTCTGATTTAAGTATTAGAATTGTGTATTTCTGAATTATTAATATTTAACTCGTATATTTTACTTAGATTAATATATTTATATTTATATATATTATTATATAATTATATATATATATTTATATATATTATATAACACACACACATTCTTACATATTATATATTATTATTAACAACATATTAATAATTTTAATTATATATATATAATATAATAATTTTTAATATATATTATATATTGTTATTTATATTATTATAATATTTATATAATAAATATATATATATTATATAATATATTATATTAATAATCATATGTTTGTTATTAGGTTTATGTTATATCATATTTTGGTGTGGGTTGGGTTTTCATGAGGTGTGTGTATGTATGAATATATTATGATTTATATTTATATAACTATTTATGTTGTATTAATATTATATTAGTATCAATAACATTATTATTACTACAGATATAATTAATTGAATTATCTGTATATATGTACATATATCATTGTTAAATGTTTAATTAATATATGTATATGTAATATTCCTATTACATATTACATTATATATTTATATCTTATATATATAAATTACATATATTACACTCACACACACTCAACATCCACATATCACATACATACTCACACCAATATACTACACACTACTACAACACTATTATTATAAATATGTTGTATTATATTATATATTATGTTTAAAATAAATATTATAATTATATTTATATTAATAGTTTATAATATATAATATTAATTATATATTTATATATAAATTATTAACTATTATTATATATATTATATAATCATATATTTAATATAGATAATAGTATTAGAGGTTAATGTTATTAGTGGCTATTATAATTATTAGTTATTATTTCCACTTAAATCAACAAGAAGCTTATACAGTATATCTGACTCAGGTATTCTTTGTGGATATTATTTTTCGTCACATGAAAATTTAAAAATGTTTAACTTATATATTTATCATTAGACGAACTTTCAATGTATAGAAACGTTGATGGTTACTTAATTCTTTAGTCTTTAGTATATTGACCTTATGACTTATGTTGGCTTTATCTACTTCACAGTTATTGTAACACCTATTAGCTTGTAATGGTGGTCATTATTTAATTAAGTGATGATTTAAATTGTATAAGTATAGTTATTAATATATTATAATTTATTATCTTTTAAATGTGTTCTTTAAGTGCTTAATTGGTTTAGATCAGTTTAGCATTTTTAATAATTATATTTGCTTTAGAATAGTGACTACATTATTATTATTATTAGTTACTTATATTAATGACAGATATTAGGTGAATATATCGATCGCAAAACTACCACACTCTCTCTACTTACACATCGACAGTACTCTACGCGATTTCAGATCGATTAAAGCGATAAGACAGAGCAGCATACACCTAATGAAAGCATTAAGCAAAGTGCATGATTCCGCGCATAGTACTCCACGCAATTATTATCGTATTTACCTCTTCATTATAAGTATTAGACTAGATTTATACTTCAGCACAAGCGCTTATTTACTGCCTTGTTACGCCTCGTAAGCGTGTTCTTCGGTTGCATGCGCTATCATTTATTATCGCACTTAGTGAGACGGAGCACTAGGGTAGTTAATTGGACGCGTTGATGAGAGTCCGTCAGAGCCTATCGACCTTGCTAAAGCTTCATTTTTGCTATGTTGTTACTTATGGTCAGCTTTGTCGTACTGCTTCTTCCTGGCTGGTGTTCTCTATAGGCTTAGCAATTGACAGTGTTGGCGCTATAGAATATTCTTATTACTAGGTATGTGTGTATTACGCAGGCGTATAGCCAATTTAACTACTTAGTTCATCAATAATAATCTACTGCCACAACATTACGGTTAAATGTCGTAATTTAGCAGTCTGTTAGTCTATCGCACTTTTCACATATATTATGCTTCTTACCTCGATAGCAGCATGTTTAGACATAACTCACCATTAAGCTAACACGCAACACCCCACACACAGCTCACGATTCTCTATCCATGTTTATAACTCAGGATGTTTTTTTTCTTTTCCCCGACAGCAAGCGAGCATTCTTTCCTTTCGCACCGGGGTAAGGAGCTACGTTCTAGTCTCGTGGTCATTTGAGAATCTATTTAACAACATCCACATCTGCTCTTTATCAATGTTCGACACTCGCACTCATTATGTTCGCTTTATTCAGTTGGGTCTTTGCGTTCACGACTTGCTGCTTGACAGGCAGTACTCGATGTTGGAAAATCTCAGTCCATTGTAGAATATATATATTATACACACATTACCATATATTATTATTATAATAATATATATTAATTATATTATTATATATTATATACTGTTTATTAATATTATTATTATATTATATAGTATATTATAGTTATTTATATTATACATACATAACAAAGTTCACACACAATCATACATCACCACACAACAACAACTGACACCACACCATCACATAAGCATATTCTATACATACATACATTACATATTATATATATATACAACTCACACACACTCAACACTACACACACACACACACATTTACACACACCATATGTATAGTAATATTATATTTATACATTATATAAACACACATATACAATATATATAATACCATATATATATATATATATAATAATACATAAGCACCCCAGCCTTGCTACACACAACACACAACATTATATTATAATTAGTATATATAGTTTATTAGTTACACAAACACCACCTTCATATAGAATAAGTGTATTATTGTATATATTATATTAAAGTTACCACACACAGCACTAACATCATGTACTCTCAGCTGATATGTTTGTGGTTTTTGTGTTGTGTTTATTATATTACTTAGTATTTATTTAATATTGATCACTTTAAGCTTCTTATAAGTTATAGTTATTAAGATATCTGTTTAATCTATCAATATTCTCAACATCTAATACTCACATCAATAAATAAATTGTTTTGTGTCTGTAGGATGTAGTTGTGTGTGTGTAGCTTGCTCTGCCTAGGTTGCTTAGTATTCGCAGAGAGATGTATTGTGTGTGTATAGATTGCTCGTTGTATGTATACTATTCATATTTTAGTATGTTGACTCATATCTTTTCACTCTAGAAATTACCTATTTGTTTTATTCAGGTATATTATCTATAACAGGAACCTTTTGTATATTGTTTTTTAGTATTTTATTGATCAGTTTATAGCCGTCTGTACAAATAATAAAATAACAAATAATTACTCAGTTTATCAATTTTAGCTTATATGTTAACCACCTTCTATTTAATTCATTCCTTTTACTCATTTTATGTACATATTTACATTAAGGTAGTTTTACCATCAGTCACTATCCATCGTCGCAATAGTAGACCTGTATTATAAATGTGACATTTATTAACTACTTATATTAGTTAACAATTATAGTAGGTTAAAATCCTTATCTATAAGTCACTTTCATTCACATATCTCTTCTTTCTTTGTCAACCTTTATTTTCTCACCTTTTTCTTTGTCTTATTTTCACCCACTCAACAAGATCACTCCACAATCACTTAATTCAACTTCACTATCTTTCTCCACTGAATACAACTACCAACATTTCTCAAAAGCAATTAGAAATCGAGTAGTCTAAGTAGACATCGATGTGCATGTCTTAAAGCGACTCAGATAGGGGGCGAGAAGATGTAAGAAGAACAGAAAGTATTATTATGCAACGGCGAACACTACATTCTATCATCTTTGTCGACAGTCTAAAATTCTATCTATGATCACTAATATAATCCATAAAATTATATATATTTAACATAGATGTAATATCATAGTATTTATGATGTCTGTGTGTGTTTTGTGTGTGATGTTATAGAAAATTATATACACAGTCATCACTTACAGCACGCACTTTCACATCACACACGGACTTCTAAGCATAAACGCAGATCACAAATACGTAACAAACCACCCCTGTATAGGTATGTTCATTTGTACAACAAACTTTCAATTCAGCAACAACACTCACACTATTCGTACACTCACCTACAACATACACCATACTAGCACAGAATATGTAACTACTGATGTACTCATTCTAATACAATTCGTGACTACAAAATTTAAAAAACAACAAGGACTAGAAAGAATAAGACAAGAATGTATTGATTTGTTGAAGTGTGAATGAGAGAAGGATATTCGAGGGTACCGGTTAACACGCGCTTACAAGCAGCACATACAACACATACATATATATATGAAGAGAGAGGTGTATAGAGTGGATAAGGGGAGGTAAGGTATAGTAAGGTGAGGAGGTTATATTGTATGGAGTATGAGTAGTAGGATATGAGATAGATAGTTAGAGATGATGATGGTTAGAGAGAGTAGAAGAGTATAGAATGGATGTAGTATAAGTGATAAGTAAGAGAGTAGAGAGAGGATGATGATACTAGAGAAAAGTCGAGATGCCGCGCTAGTGACTAATGTATATAATACCCTAAACTCCTGTCTATATAGTAGCTTTCGTTTACTACCTATAAATATTCTGTGATAGATGGTTAACGCTCTCCCGTCTTGTGTATATGAATATAGCCATTATTAGGTCGCCTATATTTACCTATAAATATACTCATACACACTTCTTGAACGGTGTATTATTTAATACAATTTAATATTAGCTAATAAATTTCTCCACCTGTGATGCGTAACCGATCTAGGACGAAATTAATAAGTGAGTCTTTAGATGATCGACTGTTTATGTAAGTTTATGTATGTGACATTCTAATATACACAACAGGCGGAACAAACCACATCAGTATATAGATCTAAGCGACAACACGCTGCTCATTATCATTTACGTGAGGCATAGGGATACTCAGCGGTCCATGCTTTACCGGGCGGAATTTACTTCCTATATATATAGTATAGTTATATATATATATGTGTGTGTTCGGTTAGAGGCGGGCGGGTGCGGGATAGGGGCGAGGGTGGCGGGCTGTCGGTGCTAAAGGAATTTGCCTGGGGGCTTGAGGCGGTAGAGAGATTGGGCCTAAATTCTGTTGTGTCTGGTGCTGTGTGGTTGAAATAGCTCGGTGTTGGTGGTACATATGCGGTTACGTGGAGGAGGGTATGTGAGTGAGGCGGCTAGTTTTGTCCCTCGACTCGAATTATAGAATTGGAGTATCGACAGAGAGAGCAGAACGATAGCACATTAGTATACGGATGGTTAAGAGTGAATCTTCACTGGACTCTTTATGTTGGTAATTACAATCTGTGTTATATATAGGCCACTTATATATATATATATTTATATATATATATATATGTGTTGTGTGTTATATGTGAAATATATATATATTTGTATATATATATGCCTAACTTTTATGTATCGTATAGTACATTCGAATGGTAATGGTTAGGTCATGTAATATGTAATACCGGATTGGCTTGTGTGTATTTATATATATAACAGTAGGCCCTCATTACGTAGTAGTCCAATTTATTACAGCATGTATACCCCGGGGCAGTGGGAGAATAAGGGGGTGGGTGAGGTAAGATATATTTGAGGGCCATAGTAGGTAATGAGTATTAGCATTGTTTAAGATTTAATCACTATAACGTGGCATTTAATATATATAATAAGTTGTTATATATATATTAATCTATACTATGAAAATTAAAATAACAAGCAATATTGCGTTCACGGGGTTCAGGAGAATATAATTAGAGGAGGGCGGACTGCTCTGGCACGCCTTTGTCTGCCGAGTGTGGTTTGGCTGCTCCGTGCTGTGTGCATTAGGACTCTAGAGTGGAATTTTATTTTAGGGCATCAGTCTTGGTGAATTGTGGGTGTAGATACAGGGCTCTCAATCAAGGACCTTACTGTTCGCTCGACTCATCTTGACTGACCATTGTAAATGGAATTGTCTGTCGCGTATAGATAGATGTTGAGTTAGTTGGTGTGTGTGGGCGTTGTCTAGTCGTGTGTGTGTGTGGGTGTATCTGAAACAATGTCGGGGAATAAGCGCCAAGAGATTTGAAGACAAGTCATATAATCGCAGTTTGTTTAACGGTTTCTCGAGCCTCTTTAGAGCTGTTTTCTCTTTGTCTTCGGCAGCCACGGAAGTTAACCCCTGCATTGTCGAGGGTCTTTGGTTGTCTGAAGAGGAATCGTGAAGTGTTCGATATTAGTCTTCGCTTTCCTCTCTTCCATTCTCATCTGTCATTAGCTTATGTTAGTTACTCTTCATTTTTTGCTACGTTTCTACTCTGTGATATTTTTTGCTGCTTCTTCTCTGATTACTGTGTTCATATGATTTTATTTTATAATCATGTCATTTAATATTGATCTTTAATTTTACATTCCTAATATATAAGTATAATTAAGCATTATTGGTACACACACAAATTATTAGTTTATTACATATATACCTTATATAGATATGTGTTCATAAATGAAAAGGATACTTCTGTTGTATTGTGGATAGCTTGTGTGTGTGTGTGATGTGGCTTGTGTGGTTAAGAGAGTGGTTGCTGTGGTTAATATTCGTTTCGTGTGTGACCATTCCTTAATACACAAGCACTAGTAGGCAGAAAGTATTTATTTGGCCAACAGATGCTCCCTTAGTTTCCGTTTGGCCCATCCGATCGCTCAGAAGTCTCCTCGACCGAAACGGCTTGTAGTCGGATTGGCCATAGCCCCCACAGATACAAAGAAGCAGTGAGAAAGTAAAGAGTTGCTGTGTGCGTGTATCTTGCTTACTGTTCTATATGCTTGTTTCCAAATTGAAAGAATGTTCTACTCGTCCGAGCGAGTCTGTCCTTCTACATGCGGTCCTTTGGACTTGTTTTGTGGCTTCACATCCGAGGTGTAGAGAAACTTCCCTCTCTGTCTCGCTGCGAGACCAGATAGATAATTAATGACGGCCAAGCATTGGATACTCCTGTAAACTAAGGTTGTCTGTTAAAAATTCCCTTCCTCTACGGAAGGCACTGCCATTTCTTGTTCGACGTTGGACGCCCATCCCATTGGCGCCGCGGGGGGGCGGGGGGGGTTTTCCCCCCTGTGCCCGCCCCTGGCAGGAGTCTTCTGACAGTTCCCGTCAGGGGCGTTTCTCCTTCGCCACGTAGGCGACTGTAGTGTTTTTTATTTTCTCCTTGTCTTACTGTAAGAACGCAAAGGCTTTTGAAGTTTGGATGTTCGTCGACATCGCCTTCCTGACCTTCTTGAAAGTCACGAGGGGATGGGCCAGGCGTTCTCTTTTCGTGACAGGTTTTCTTTAGTCCAAAGTCAGGCAGAGAAGTACCGCGGAATACAACCCTTATTGCACGTGATAACAAAGCACTTTCTGTAATACATAACTGTGTCTTGCATGATTTGGTGTCCGTAGGCAGTCTTAGGAACATTTACCTCACTAAGAGAACTTGACAAATACAGCTTAAGAACGATAAGTGGACATTGTGATGAATAATGAACTGAACCTACAACATGGTAACTAAATTGACGAGCAACACAGGTAAATAAAATCATGAGAACCGCAAACAGAAATCAGTTTGAAGGACTGCAAACCTGAGCAATCCTATTAGCTGGACAAGTAGATCGAGAGTTCATCCCCATCCTATATCCTGCAACGTACATTCTGCTGCTCGTTCCTCTCACAGGTGAAGACGGGATGCTGCGGGCTGGACCCCACGACGGGGCGGGGCAAGCAGATCCACCTGGCGCAGATGCTGCTCCTGCCCTTCGTGCCCATCATGGCCCTCATCATACAGAACGGACTCAACATGGTGAACGTCCTGCAGTACCAGTACGAGATGCAGGAGACCATTGACCAGGTGGGTGGCGGGGGAGGGAGGGTGGGAGGAGGAAGAGATGGAGGGGGAGGAGAGAGAGGGGGGGGAGAGAAAAAGAGAGAGGGGGCAGGGAGAGAGGGGGGAGGGAGGGAGAGAGAGGGGGAGGGAGGAGGAGGAAGAGAAGGGGAGGGAGAGGGGAAGAGAGAGAGGGAGGGAGGAAGAGAGAAAGAGAGAGAGGGGGGGGGGGGAGGAAAGAGAGAAAGAGAGAAAGGAGGAGAGGGAGGAAAGAGAGAAGAGAGAGAGGGGAAGTGGGGAGGTGGAAAGAGGCTGAGGGCACAAGGTTAACGGAGGGATAGGGTAGGAGAGGAAGGAGTGAGAGAAGAGTGAAAAGGGCGGGAGGCGGAGAGGAGTGAACAGGAAGGGAGTGGCGATATGGAAGGGTTGAGGAAAAGGGTGGGAAAGCAAAGGAAAAGGAAGGAAAGAGAGAAAGTTGAAGGGAGGGGGATCAGAACGGAATGAGGAAGAGGAAGGAGGGTGATAAAGGACCGAAAAGAGGCGAGAAGATGATAACGGAAGGGGGAGAGAAGGGAGTAGAGAGGAACTGAAAAAGGGGGGAGGAGGGGACGCGAGGAAGGGAAGGAGGGAGAGAGAGAGACGGCGCCGGGATGACGTGGAAGGCTGCTCACTCCCTGCGCCGCATCGAAGGCCCCTCTCGGCTTCCTGCTCTGCTCTCTCTCAAGGAACATCAGCTGGAACAATCCTATGAACATTCGCAAACATCACGAAAGAGTGATTCCAGCGAGGAGATCCAGAATTATGATCGTAGAGACCAGAACAGCGGTATATGCAAATTAGAGTTTAATGACGATGCTAATAGTGGTAACGGTATAGTAATGTTGATAATTATAATTATGGAAGCATTGACAATGATAATGATGTTACTGCTATTACTATTAATAATTGTTATAATGATGTATGGAATATCATTGATAATAGTGATAATATCAACAGTTATAATAAAAAAAGGAGAACGATAACAAAAACCACAAAAACAGAAGAGCATAAGATGATTTCCCAGCTGGCCTCCCCCCCCCTCCCCCTCGCCCTGCAGGTCCAGATCAGCACGGGCCTGGGCAACGTGACGGAGGCGCTGCAGTCCGAGCGCGCCGAGATCGCCTTCTACCTCTTCACCAACGGCTCGGTGATCCGGAGGAACCTGTCGGAGCACTTCGCCTACACCAACTCCCTCATCGACAACCTGAAGTGGCCCAAATTCCGCATTGAAGACCCGCTATTTAAGAACAAGATCCTGTTCCGCATTCGCCTCGACGACTTCCGGGACAAGATCACCAAGTTCGACACGCCATCTATTGACGCCGGGATAAAGTTCTACAACAGGGCCAACTATATCTTCCTGGACCAGGTGCGTTGCCTCTGCGGGGAGTCGGAGCTCAGGCTCATTTCGGGAATTTAAAGTCTTTATTTGGTTGCTAGAACTCATCGCAATATCTCGTTAGAACAGCTAATTGCAAGAATTCAAGAACAAATCTGTTAAATTACATGAATTAAATCTGTGCCTACAAATATTATATGTGACCGACTAAAAATTACATTAACTTCTTCTAACTACAAAGATCATAACTGTGTCCATAAGTCACTGACCACAAACCTTATATGACACAAACAACAAACAAATACACAAACGAATTTAAACTTATAATAAGATTTACCCTAAACCCACAGCTTACGCGGGAGATCAAAGAGAAGGACAGCTCGGGCGTGTGGCGGCCGCTCCTCGCCTACAAGAACCTGATCCGCGCCATCGAGCACCTGGGCATCTCCATGGTGTTCGGCGAGGAGTACTTCGGCAGGGGGGACCTCGACCACACCTCCTACCTCAACTTCGTCACCAACGACGCCCTCGGGCAAGATTTCCTCAATGCTAGTAAGAGCTTCGCCTACTGGATCAAGGACAGGTACGTGGGCGAACGCGTGGCCAGGGATTGGGACCAGAGAAGGACATCGAACTGGGCAGGGAGATACAAAATACAGAAACTGAAAAATACAATGTCTTTGAAACAAAAGTGAGATATGCAAAAATTGTGTAAGGCACAAAATGCTTTTTACACACGAAAGAAGTCAAATGGGAACTTACATTATTGTTCTGCCATTTTGCCATCACTCTAGACTGTTTTGGCTTCCATAGCACCAGCGTTTATAGACAGAAAGATGGAAGAGGGAATAAATAGGCAGAAGGACATGTAGAGAGAATAGCAATTACATGGATGTATATGCAGATGTGTCTTTGAGATCTAAAAGGGGATTTGACTTGGTATCTCCTCCTTCCAGGTACCTCCAGCTGCAGCAGACATACCCGTGGTACTCGAACATCACGCGTCGACGACAGGAAATCATAAACAGGGTCAAGATCGAGCCCGACTTCGACAAGGCCACCGAGTACTTCTACGCCATGCTGGGCTACCTGGACGCCCTGCAGAAGATCCAGTACGAGATCCGCACCAGGATCGAGGAGACCATTCTGTCGGAG